AACAAGAACCGGATAGTGATATATCTCAACACCGTGAGATATACACTCTTTCTCTCATCAGTTCTAGGACTGAAATGTCGAGGAAATCGAACAAGCTACACATCCTTCATTAGTTCTATGACTGATATGTCGAGGGTATCCAACAAGCTACAAATCATCGGGTTGGGTTTTCGCGGCGGGGGGGGGGGGCTGCGAGGGGCTAACGAGGAGGGTAGCGAGAGGGGGGCTGTGCAGCCGGGCGGCAGCGAGAGGGGGCTGCGAGGGGGGGCAACGACTTAGGGTTTGGGGGGCGGCGGCTAGGGTTTGGGTGGAGGCTCTGATACCATGAAGAAAATAGATAAAACCCTAATTGTATTATGAAATCTCTTGGGTTTATATAGGCCCCTACAAATACAACTTCCAAATAACCCCCTAACTATTATCAATATGTCAACAGACCATTATAAGAAAAAATCGGTAATTAGTAAATGGCTATATTCTTGTGTACACAAAATTTAAACAAAAGGTTTCTTTTTCCAATATTACTCTCTTACATCTTTCATATTTTGAATGAGTTCCTCAAATCATTGAAATTGCTATTAGACCCTTAAATTATTATGTGATTTAACTTATCATTGAAATTGCTATTAGACCCTTAAAATCGGTAATTAGTAAATGGCTATATTCTTGTGTACACAAAATTTAAACAAAAGGTTTCTTTTTCCAATATTACTCCCTTACATCTTTCATATTTTGAATGAGTTCCTCAAATCAGGGATATTAGTTCCAAACAACTTATGAGAATTGGGGACCTGATGGCAATTTCAATAATTTCAGGGAATTATTCCGAATTAACTTGAATGTTGGAGAACCTAGTAAAAATTTAATCATCTGAGCTCATTTCGAATTATGAAAGACAAAAGGGACTAAATAAAACCTTTTTAATTTATGGCAAACTACAGGGTAATGTAACATTTCCATATGCCGCATGAGGCCCACATAGAACAAGTGAATATTTTTTGTGCCTAAACCCAGACTACCCCTATTTAATTCTTCCACTTAGACCCCACATGAAATCAACTGGGTGAGTAACAATTTGGGTGACGTGATGTCCGGGAGAGTTCATCCCCTTCCTCGAGTCTGATCCCTTCCTCCCCCATAAACTTTCCGCTACTTTCACTAGGTCCCATTGGAGGAAAAGGAACAGGAAAAGTTTTAGTCCATTTTCCTTCCAATTTCTCCCATTTTTATTTTTTTTTTCTTTCAAACCAAAAAGTTGAAAATAATTTTCTTTCTAACTTTCTTTTCCTTTCTTTCAATTTCAGTCAAACCAAACTCAGCCTTACTGAATAAGTTACATTGAAGAATGAAAGGTTGATATTTGAAAAGTACTGAAGAACAAACAGGAGTAGGTTGTACCTGTACTTCTGCACGTAGGTCAGTATAAGGTACAACACCAGTCAGAAGCTCACTGCAGATCACCAAAATCTTGTTAGATTAGAAAGTTGCAAGATTATGTATTGAGAAATCTTATAAATTAATACAAAAACATATTAACTTCTTGAATATCTGCCTCAGAAAGGATGTAACCATGGACCATACCACAAGAAATTCATATTTTCACATATTTGGCCAGAAGTTTTTATAAAGTAGGTATATAACAAACTAATCTAGATAGTATTATGATAAAAGCTAACTATCCATAAACATGACTAACAAGATATGTGTTTATGTATAAAATTCTGGTGAAGGCCATAGTGATTTTGGTTTATTTAAAATAGCTATTTTACACGTAAAATGAAATTAGATTACATCATCAGCAAGAATAGTTGCTTACAGGTCCTGTTTACCTTAAAATGTGATTTCATTAGGTTCTTCAAGTTATTTTGAACCTCTGGTTCAAAAATTGACAAGATACTCTACAGAAAATCTTATCTCATATTCCTTTTTTCCTAGACTCTTCCATCTTTCTGATTAAAAGAATCAATAGAAACTAATTTCCACCAAACAATTAACAGATAAATAAAACCTTTTTCATGGAGATTAGAATTAGAAAATCAAGTGAAACAGCTTCTCCGACAATTTTGCTTATGATTTCTGAAAACTGGCTCCTTCTGGATTGGGGGAAATTGCACTCCATTAGACATGGAGGCAAGTGAAATTGAATGTTCAGGGGTATCCATGTTAGATAATTGGAGAAATTTTTGAAATAGCCCATTTTTAAAATTTAATTGGCAAAATTGACCTAAATAATATTTAATTGGTAAAAATAGGTCCTTTTTTTGCAAAATATCATGTTTACAGATATATGGGACTACTAGTCCTGTATAATTAGTTATTTTCGTAATTACACCATGTTTCTTTCATAAAAAACCTACATATCTTTGAGGAACAAACAACTATTTGTACTCAGTTTCTTGGGTAACAATCAAGTCTTGGGACTCACTCTTTGTGGGGCCCACATCAAGGGGTAAGAGATTATTGGTTCCCTAAGTTTTTGTAGTTTTTGTAAATGTGCATGAGCACGACTCTTTTTTTGGGAACTAACACGTCCTGCTGCGACTGACTCTTTGTGGGCCCATGTCAATGGGTAAGAGATTATAGGTCCCTAAATTCTGTAAATGGACATGTATGCTGGGCCCCAGAAGGGAATAGGCAAGGTAAGTTTTTTCATGAAATGCCGAGATCATTATGAAACTAACTATCGGTTAAACACAATTTATTACGGCTAATTATACGGGCCTACCAGTCATGTATTCCTCAAAGATAAAATTTTGCAAAATCGACCAACTTTCAGTTAATTGCACTTATGTGACCAAAAATAGATTTATTTTGCTAATTAAATATTTTTTAGCTCGGTTTTGCTTATTAAATTTGTAAAATGGTCTATTTAGAAAATTTCTCCTAGATAATTCTGCATAGGTGTGCTGGGATCACATGCAAAACACATAAAGGCCAGTAGAAAGAAACATAGTGGTTCGGAAATGATATTGATAAACGATAAGCTCATGTGAAATACTTGCATATTGGAAGGTTGCGGTGACAAATCCTACAATCTAGTGGACACTCATATAATTCGAAGGAAATATTTTTTTTGGCATGCGTGTTTTTTTTTGGGTGGGGTGGGGGGTGGGGGGATCCTACAATCTAGTGATCACTTAAGATAAACATTTCTTGTAAAATGGAAAAGAGAAGGCAGTCAATAAGAAAGGCCACTTGTAAAATTTTCGAGAATCTTGTAATGAGATGATGGTAAACAGAGATAAAGAAAAGGGATAGAGGGACTGATAAAATCTTACTATAACTGGTAGACTGCATTACGAGGATTTAGAGAAGATGAAGCTATAAAATTACACGCTGTATCACATACAACTTTTAGCATTTAGCAATATAAGATACAAATATAAGCATCTACACATGAACGATCAAGAAAATTCTACATAAATAATTGTTATATTTGATTACAATAAACATGAGGTCCATTCAACACATATTCAAAATGCAGCAAGGAAATGCATACATACTTACTTGATGGAAACAGCAAAACTATAGACATCAGATTTTTCTGTATGGATGTCCTTTCTCAGAATTTCTGGCGCCATATAAATGAGAGTCCCTACCATATTTCTTTTGTGAAAACCACCAGTTGGCTTGCCAGATGATCTCCAATTTTCAAGTGAGATGTATTTAAGATCTTTCTTATGTGTAGCTAAACCAAAATCTGCTAAGTGAGGGTGAAGGCCCCCATCAAGCTGCATCAGAAGTCTGAAAGTATTGAGTAAATTTGCCAAAATAGAAAGTAACATATCACTATTATATAATGCAATAGAAGAATACTACATGACGGACAAGAAAAGGTTGCAGATAATTACAAGAATGTTTGCAGGTTTTATATCCCTATGTACTATACCAAGGTTGTGCAGATACTGCAGAGTCTTTGCTGAAAAGAAAACATACATAAACAGTTTTATTAGTTACAAATTGAATAATCATTCCATAAAAAGGAATTCAATTTAATAGTTTCCTTGTAAGAACAGTGAAGTGGTAATTGAGCTCTAACTCTGTTACTTCAAGATTTATATAAAGCGGCTTCAAGTTGCCCTAAACACAAACTGAGCTTTTAAAACAAATGTTACCCTAGAACACAATAAGACACTGCTTCGTACTTTTGCTGATTTTTCGACGTGGAAATGCCGCTCAATATATCGGAAAAAGCCCAAAATGTCGCTCAATAATAGGGAAAAGCCCTACATAATGCCAATATTTCCTAAAAAATGACAAACTACAAGTAAAAACTCTCGTTGTGGCAATTCCTCCTATAAACAACAGTTTAACCAACATGTCAGCGGGCTTATTAAACACTGGTAGTTACATCCGGGATATTAGTTCCAAACAACTTATGAGAATTGGGGACCTGATGGCAATTTCAATAATTTCAGGGAATTATTCCGAATTAACTTGAATGTTGGAGAACCTAGTAAAAATTTAATCATCTGAGCTCATTTCGAATTATGAAAGACAAAAGGGACTAAATAAAACCTTTTTAATTTATGGCAAACTACAGGGTAATGTAACATTTCCATATGCCGCATGAGGCCCACATAGAACAAGTGAATATTTTTTGTGCCTAAACCCAGACTACCCCTATTTAATTCTTCCACTTAGACCCCACATGAAATCAACTGGGTGAGTAACAATTTGGGTGACGTGATGTCCGGGAGAGTTCATCCCCTTCCTCGAGTCTGATCCCTTCCTCCCCCATAAACTTTCCGCTACTTTCACTAGGTCCCATTGGAGGAAAAGGAACAGGAAAAGTTTTAGTCCATTTTCCTTCCAATTTCTCCCATTTTTATTTTTTTTTTCTTTCAAACCAAAAAGTTGAAAATAATTTTCTTTCTAACTTTCTTTTCCTTTCTTTCAATTTCAGTCAAACCAAACTCAGCCTTACTGAATAAGTTACATTGAAGAATGAAAGGTTGATATTTGAAAAGTACTGAAGAACAAACAGGAGTAGGTTGTACCTGTACTTCTGCACGTAGGTCAGTATAAGGTACAACACCAGTCAGAAGCTCACTGCAGATCACCAAAATCTTGTTAGATTAGAAAGTTGCAAGATTATGTATTGAGAAATCTTATAAATTAATACAAAAACATATTAACTTCTTGAATATCTGCCTCAGAAAGGATGTAACCATGGACCATACCACAAGAAATTCATATTTTCACATATTTGGCCAGAAGTTTTTATAAAGTAGGTATATAACAAACTAATCTAGATAGTATTATGATAAAAGCTAACTATCCATAAACATGACTAACAAGATATGTGTTTATGTATAAAATTCTGGTGAAGGCCATAGTGATTTTGGTTTATTTAAAATAGCTATTTTACACGTAAAATGAAATTAGATTACATCATCAGCAAGAATAGTTGCTTACAGGTCCTGTTTACCTTAAAATGTGATTTCATTAGGTTCTTCAAGTTATTTTGAACCTCTGGTTCAAAAATTGACAAGATACTCTACAGAAAATCTTATCTCATATTCCTTTTTTCCTAGACTCTTCCATCTTTCTGATTAAAAGAATCAATAGAAACTAATTTCCACCAAACAATTAACAGATAAATAAAACCTTTTTCATGGAGATTAGAATTAGAAAATCAAGTGAAACAGCTTCTCCGACAATTTTGCTTATGATTTCTGAAAACTGGCTCCTTCTGGATTGGGGGAAATTGCACTCCATTAGACATGGAGGCAAGTGAAATTGAATGTTCAGGGGTATCCATGTTAGATAATTGGAGAAATTTTTGAAATAGCCCATTTTTAAAATTTAATTGGCAAAATTGACCTAAATAATATTTAATTGGTAAAAATAGGTCCTTTTTTTGCAAAATATCATGTTTACAGATATATGGGACTACTAGTCCTGTATAATTAGTTATTTTCGTAATTACACCATGTTTCTTTCATAAAAAACCTACATATCTTTGAGGAACAAACAACTATTTGTACTCAGTTTCTTGGGTAACAATCAAGTCTTGGGACTCACTCTTTGTGGGGCCCACATCAAGGGGTAAGAGATTATTGGTTCCCTAAGTTTTTGTAGTTTTTGTAAATGTGCATGAGCACGACTCTTTTTTTGGGAACTAACACGTCCTGCTGCGACTGACTCTTTGTGGGCCCATGTCAATGGGTAAGAGATTATAGGTCCCTAAATTCTGTAAATGGACATGTATGCTGGGCCCCAGAAGGGAATAGGCAAGGTAAGTTTTTTCATGAAATGCCGAGATCATTATGAAACTAACTATCGGTTAAACACAATTTATTACGGCTAATTATACGGGCCTACCAGTCATGTATTCCTCAAAGATAAAATTTTGCAAAATCGACCAACTTTCAGTTAATTGCACTTATGTGACCAAAAATAGATTTATTTTGCTAATTAAATATTTTTTAGCTCGGTTTTGCTTATTAAATTTGTAAAATGGTCTATTTAGAAAATTTCTCCTAGATAATTCTGCATAGGTGTGCTGGGATCACATGCAAAACACATAAAGGCCAGTAGAAAGAAACATAGTGGTTCGGAAATGATATTGATAAACGATAAGCTCATGTGAAATACTTGCATATTGGAAGGTTGCGGTGACAAATCCTACAATCTAGTGGACACTCATATAATTCGAAGGAAATATTTTTTTTGGCATGCGTGTTTTTTTTTGGGTGGGGTGGGGGGTGGGGGGATCCTACAATCTAGTGATCACTTAAGATAAACATTTCTTGTAAAATGGAAAAGAGAAGGCAGTCAATAAGAAAGGCCACTTGTAAAATTTTCGAGAATCTTGTAATGAGATGATGGTAAACAGAGATAAAGAAAAGGGATAGAGGGACTGATAAAATCTTACTATAACTGGTAGACTGCATTACGAGGATTTAGAGAAGATGAAGCTATAAAATTACACGCTGTATCACATACAACTTTTAGCATTTAGCAATATAAGATACAAATATAAGCATCTACACATGAACGATCAAGAAAATTCTACATAAATAATTGTTATATTTGATTACAATAAACATGAGGTCCATTCAACACATATTCAAAATGCAGCAAGGAAATGCATACATACTTACTTGATGGAAACAGCAAAACTATAGACATCAGATTTTTCTGTATGGATGTCCTTTCTCAGAATTTCTGGCGCCATATAAATGAGAGTCCCTACCATATTTCTTTTGTGAAAACCACCAGTTGGCTTGCCAGATGATCTCCAATTTTCAAGTGAGATGTATTTAAGATCTTTCTTATGTGTAGCTAAACCAAAATCTGCTAAGTGAGGGTGAAGGCCCCCATCAAGCTGCATCAGAAGTCTGAAAGTATTGAGTAAATTTGCCAAAATAGAAAGTAACATATCACTATTATATAATGCAATAGAAGAATACTACATGACGGACAAGAAAAGGTTGCAGATAATTACAAGAATGTTTGCAGGTTTTATATCCCTATGTACTATACCAAGGTTGTGCAGATACTGCAGAGTCTTTGCTGAAAAGAAAACATACATAAACAGTTTTATTAGTTACAAATTGAATAATCATTCCATAAAAAGGAATTCAATTTAATAGTTTCCTTGTAAGAACAGTGAAGTGGTAATTGAGCTCTAACTCTGTTACTTCAAGATTTATATAAAGCGGCTTCAAGTTGCCCTAAACACAAACTGAGCTTTTAAAACAAATGTTACCCTAGAACACAATAAGACACTGCTTCGTACTTTTGCTGATTTTTCGACGTGGAAATGCCGCTCAATATATCGGAAAAAGCCCAAAATGTCGCTCAATAATAGGGAAAAGCCCTACATAATGCCAATATTTCCTAAAAAATGACAAACTACAAGTAAAAACTCTCGTTGTGGCAATTCCTCCTATAAACAACAGTTTAACCAACATGTCAGCGGGCTTATTAAACACTGGTAGTTACATCCATGAACTTTAGGCCAGGTGTAGACACATTTTTCCTTTCTCTTGAGAATTGCGTGATTGCGTCCTCAACAAATTCTAACAGAATATTAGAGCTAGCGGCAATTTGTCACCGCAAGGGGAAAAAATATTATGGTATCATTGAAAAAGAGATAATAATCCTAAACTTTCTCAAAGCTAACACCCAATAAGATGTGATAATGGCTGACAACTGTGTGATCATAAACAACCACAAGCTCCTAAATGACATATTGACATGCATGTACTAAACGAGAAATAATTAAAAGAGATAAAAGGAGCTTGAGGACAATCTAAGGCATGTACACTATGATAAGGAGATCACAAAATCAAACGCATGTTACTACCATCCAAGGGAAAGGAATCTTCTGTCGTATATCGGGAGTGTAGAATTATCGAAAATTCCAAGAGAATAGCCATACAAATATCTGCTAAGCATTGTCCATATGAGAAACAAGTGAGCATAATAAACTTGTGTATCAGCTGAAATAATAACAAACAATTTAGTACAGAACAAACAATCCAATGTCTAATTTGATCTCACAGGATATTTTCGGTAAATAGTCATACACAGCACATTATACGAAAGGCTATACCGAGCTCATAAGCAATCACGAGTGCTTCATCAATCTCAGGGCTCCACTCCTCAACATGCAATCTCTCCGCCAAATTCCCCCTCTCATAAAACTCAAAGAAAAACAAATAATTTGGAGGCCTCGCATGAGCAGCAACCAACTTAGCCAATCCAGGATGATCCACTTCACTTCACGCCCAACAAAACCAACATCAAAATTATCCATATTGGTCAACATGGGCACTCCCAAAATCCCAACTTTAAGCGAAAAAACACCTAAAGGGGTGTAAACTTTCTTACCACCACAGTTGAAGTTCTCTGTGGAACCTGTCGAGGTCGTCGGAAGTGGAAAGGACAGGTTTTTTGACGGCGACTCTCCGCCCATCGAGCCTCGCGTCGTAGACGGTGCTTTCAGAACCTTTTGTTTGGTGAAATTAAAGGAGAGACTCAGAATGGACTAACAGAAAATTAGAGAAAAGACATAGGGGGTTTGGCGAAATTTTACCTTTAGCGACAGGGGAGAGGAGGGAGAAGGAAGAGGGAGGGAGATGGAGGGGGATTGACTTGCTCGAGCAGCAGCCTCGGATGCAAGTGTTGGGCTCCGGTATTCTCTCTTTGCGTCTTTTATTTTATTTTATTTTATTTTTAATTTATTATTATTATTTCTTTGGGTTCGGTAGAGGCAAAAAGGATTCAGGAATTCACAGAAAGCCGTGCCTCGTGCTGCTTCTCACGTTTGGCTCGGATCACTCGTGTTTCTCGTTTCCGCTGGCATACGGGATCGTGTCTGGCTCCAAATACTCGTAAGATTAGGTAGTTATAATGGTATGATATGTTTATGGCGTTTAAATACTCGGTGGTTTCACCATCTTTACACTTAAATACAAATACTTTTAGTCATCCACGTTTAGAATATTGTAATCACCGTTAAATAAAGCTATTATGACGAAAATACTCGTTCATAGAAATGGATGTAAAATTTAATCAAAAGATGGATGATATATATAATGCTAAATATGGCAATAAATCAGATCAATGTAATTAGACAAATATCATGTGCTAATTATATGAGATTATCCCTAGGAATATTCTCAATATTCTCACGTTCAACCAACAGAAGGTACTAGCATGTCATTTTTCACAACTTGAGATATTAAAATGCTATATTTTATAACTTAGGATATTTTAAATGTAAATGTGGTAGTACTATAGGGTATTTAATTGCCATTTAGCCTAAATTTCTAATACACTGCATAAGAAAAAAGTGTTTTAAGCCATACAAAGGGGATAACATGACAATTCGGATATTTCACCACCTATTTTTCGGTTCAAAATACAACACTTGGATACTAGATGTTTTGACAGGATATGTAATTTGTAAAATTGTAGAGGACCTGTCAAGATATGGCTAAGCACGGCGCAACTCGTCCCAATACTGATCATCTTTCATTTTGGGTTTATCGATATACATGTTTGATAACGTTATCATTTTGATAACCTTTTACAAATATTTCTTTCTTTTTTTTTTGAAAAGTAACCCAAATTGTCTAAAATATCCTCACTGCCGAGTAAAACAACAGGGAATTAAGATGATAGGGCCAAGGCTATTTCAGAAATTTTACAAGTTTCTTTTTTTGACATAATTATAAAGTTTCAAAAATTCATATCATACACTTTCGAAGTAAGTGATTACTGAATATCCGTATGTAAAACCTTTTTTGGTTCCCGGAAAGGCATGAATCACGCCGTTCATGCCATTCATTTGGAAACATGTTTAACTACACAAAAAATAAAAAAATTAAAAAAAATCTTCAAAAGTTGTTAAAGTACCCCCATCGGAACAAGGTGATGTACGATTCCTAAAGAGATTACATCAATCAACTTTAATAAAAGATCAGTCACAATGTTAGTCATGTGATGCCCCGTTTAGAAGCACGCACATAATATACAGTGAACATTCCTTCTATAGATGCAAGAATCGAGATGATTTCCTTGCCATTTAAGGGCTATTTGGTTCGTTTTTTAACTTGATGGAAAAGTTTTACATCGCCTCCACATCACATTTTTGTGGTCACGTAAGATATAAGCTTTCCGTCGGTTTTTTCCCCATCTTTGGTTCGCTAGGATTAAAGAAGGGAAACTCGGTGAAAATCGCCGCCACATCAGATTTTTTTTTCCCCCAATTCCTTCCTCAACCTCGTGAAATCGACGAAAACTACAGCCACGTCGGCTTTTTGCTATATAAACAAAAGTTTTCTCTTTATTTCCATGCGAACCAAATACAAGAAAAATAAATACATTGGTTTCCCACTTTTTTTTGCGAACCAAAGCGAAACAATCTATTTCTTGGAAAAGTTTGAAAAACTCAAAACTTGTGTTTTTGTACATGGAAATACATTTCCCTATATCTAGGAAACGAACCAAACAGCCCCTTACAAGAAAAGGTTTTATCATTTACACATTTCACGTTAATACATTCCTTATAGGTTTATCATAATCCCATATTACATGAAAATGCCAAATCAGTATAGAAAATAAATACAAAGCAGAAAGTATGCAAACAAAACAAAACAAAACAAACACACCCGTGACTGCGGAAAGACCTCACATTTTTCTCATACCAACAAGATTCTCTTCATTTTTATAAACATTAAAAAAATACCAAATATTTACTAGTGCGCCAGTAACAACCAGAAATTTCTTCTGTAAATTTCGAGCATGCTTCATGGGAACTTACTTTACAACTACAGAAGAGGAAAAAGAAATTGTGTCAGAATAATGAATTCCAAGTGATATATCCTAACCGGATAAGATAAGAATAAACTTCTGATGAGATGCGTCATTTGATTACCAAGAAACAAACCAGACAGTGGGAAATGGTAAGCATTTTCAGTAGCAGAATTTCTTCTTCTGCAGAGAGACATTATAGACCCCCATTAACTTCCAAAATTATCAAATATCAAATGAGACAGTTATAACAAAATACCATCTGTAGGTAAATATCATAAACAGAGAAAACCTGCTAAACCTACCCTGAACTTAGCCTCCCGCTGGCCGTCAAGGTAAGCTAAGAGCTCCTCTTGCCTCAACAGAGCCTCATGAAGTGCCTGCCTCACACCGAGGGGGTCATTAATTCATAGTCATACGAAACAGATACATAGAAAGAAAGTGATTTACTCATAGCACAACTCTATGATGTATCCTCTTCCAGCATGTGTCAAATTACCAACCTGTCCTCAGTGTGTAACAAAATGAAGTTTGATATGATTGTACTATGCTTTATAAACATTTAAAATTCCTCATTAATCAATATTGAAGCCCGGATAGGAAAGCTTGGGGGTCAAAGTTGGTTCACGGATCAAGCTCAAAATATAGACTTAACCTAATCTGATGTTCTTTTCTGCAGAGATACAACTAGAGGATTTTCCTCGTTGGATGGACTGGCCATATGTAACAAATAACTCTGGCAAACTTGATTGCTTATATTTTATGGATGATTTCGAATTTCATATCACAAATGCCGCAGAGGAAAGGACACCATAGATTTCTGAAATAGATGGTCAATTTGATGTGGTTGTGGTGAGCATGCTTATTATAAGTTTAAAGGAACATATTCTTGTCAGATCATTTTGAGCACAACATTTTTGACAAGTATATTAATGTTTCTAGATTACTATGGTGCACTGTGTCCCAATAATTTAGAAATTGATTCAGGAAATTATTAAGGGTCATTTGCATATATAGCCCTTAAATCTTTGCAAAAATACCCTCCAAATCTCAGTATTTACAAAAGCACCCCTCAAATCATCAATTTTTGAGAAGACTACCATCAAAGCAAGTAATCATCAACTCCGATAAGCTAATTTGTAATCACAATGTAAAAATTATCAACAAAATAGTCAAATTTCTAGCACCAACTTGATGATTTGTTGATTTTAGGGATATTTTTTCACAAAGTTGATGATTTGAGGGGTAGTTTTTCAAATATATGATTTAGGAGGTATTTTGCAAATGCCCATAAATTAAGGGGTATATATGAAAATAACACAACTATGAACATAAAATTGCCTACCTGAAATGCTGCGGTAGAGAGAAGAATAATAAACTTTCCCACTTTATATTAAAGTACAAAGATTTTAATGGGCTACATCAAAATATGAAAGATTGAGGTTTATGTGCTATGTTACCCCGACACTTCAATCTAGGTCCCGTACCCGTGTCGGGTACGTGTTGGGTGCGGATCCGCACCCAAACGGTGGATACGGCGCAAAATTTCACTCGCGAGCGAAGAAAAAAAAACCGCACCTGAAAATTTGAAAGAAAGGCCGAATCGGGCGTTATTTGAGCCCAATAACTCAAGCCCACTTGAAATCAAAGCCGAACGAAGCCGAACGAAGCGATTTCAGAGCCCGATTTCAGCGATTCTGAAGCGATTCTGCCTCGACGACGAAATCAAAGCCGAACGAAGCAATTTCAGCGCCCGATTTCAGCGCCTCGACGAAAGCCAACGACGAAATCAAAGCCTTGACGAAGCAATTTCAGCGCCTCGACAACGAATCCTCTCCTCGACGACGAGATCAGCGCCTACAAGGTTTGATTTTATGGATTTTAGGGTTTTTTTTTTGTTTTTTTTTTCCTTTTCTCCTCGACGACGAGATCGACGGAGGACTGAAGCTTGGACGAGCTCCGACAGAGGATTGAGGCTTGGACGAGCTTCGAGGGTCTTGTGAGGGGCCATCGATGGAGGACTGGCTTTGGGTTCGCGAGGAGAAATGGGAAGAGGCGACGAAGATGAAAACCCTAGGGGGAAGTTACGGTTTTATATGGGGGAGGGGTTTGGGTTTGGATTCGGGTTTGGGTTTTTTTCTTCACCTGTTTTTTATATGGAGTGGGGTTTGGGTTTGGGTTTGGGTTTTATATAGGGGGAGGGGTTTGGGTTTGGGTTGGGTTTGGGTTTTATATAGGGGGAGGGGTTTGGGTTTGGGTTTTATGTGGGGAGGGGTTTGGGTTTGGGTTTATATAAGTAATAATATTAGTTCTAAATTTTTAAATAAAATAAAAATAGCTTTCTATTTCTTAGAATTGTTAAATAAAATAAAAATAGATTGTCATATTTTAGGGTATATTTGCAAATGTAATAGGTATTTAATTCAACACTGATCTAAAGTGAATTATTTTATATATATACAGCCGTGTCCCCGTACCCTACTTTTTACAAATTTGTCGTGTCCCGTACCCGTACCCGTACCCGTACCCGTACCTAGGTAACATAGATTATATGAAATAGCCCTTAATTAAGATCAAGACCTACGATCAATATTAAGGGAGACATCCCCTTGAGTGCGTTAATGGGCCACAAGTTAAATTATGGTATAGATTAATATGAAACACTAACATGCACAGAAGGTAAAAGCTATAATCAATATAAAGTCAGTTTCCCTCTGAAAATGCGGCATGCATGCTGCAGATTGAAAAGCAGCAATGCTGAAATGATTGACAAAAATTGTTGCCTGATAGCCACCAATATATCAACCCTTTTATGGTTTCTACCATATACCTCGCCATGCGCAATGCATGAAATCTAACCCTAGAAGACCTATGCAGACAATGAGACAATACATCATTTGGCAGACTGAAGTAATAATTCAAAGCTTCATCCACTCTTGATAACTACAAAACTGAGTAACTTTAATTTGATTTACCTAGCCTACATCCCTACAGCATACCATAGACTGAAGACTTAGAATGTTTTGCTACTTTTTGAGATCCGTACATTTCTAAGAGAATGAAAACCGATGAATCAAACTGAACCACTTTCCTCCAAGCCATCACTAAATCAGGAAGCATATCTATCATATAAATGGCATGGTTTTCCTTTTTCCATTACTTTTATTGGCATCACTTGAGTAAAATATGGTTATAAGCAATAAATATTTACTAAACTTAGAGCAACAAAAATCCTCGTATAAAAGAGTTTGGAGGCGTACCTTTTTTGTAGAGATAAGCTCGGCTTCTAATGCATCCACGCGACAAACAGCAGCATTAAGCAACTCTTCTTTCTCACAAGGCATTTCAGATGGCTTTGCCTTAAGAATGTCGACCTTCTCTTCTAGTTCTCCTAACCTTCTCAAGACAGATGAAAGGAGGTCCACCTCTGTGAAACCCGGAGTAGGTGAAGGAGGGCGAGATTCCTCTTTCTGTACAAGGTCAAGTCCAAATGAAGGATACTGGTTATCTATTACTGGAGCTTCACTGGAGAATCCCTTAGTCACTTTGTTTGCGACTACACGTAACACTGTAAAGAGCATCATGAAGAATGCCAAAATGACTGCAATGATTCGATCTGCAACTCCTTCAATTGTCTTATCAGGATTGGATGAAGTGATTGAACCTGACATGCCAACCATAGTGAAATTAGCAAACAAATAGTCTCCAAAGCAAAATAAGAATGTACACAAAGTACAATGCTTAAACCATATAATACCAAAGAAATTATATCATATGATAATCAAAAACTAAGAAAACTATGACGGCAAAAAAAAACACAAAACATCTCTTTGCAATACACTGCTTAAGCTGCATGGACTGATTTTGGGGGCAGCTCCCAGTAGGCCACTTAGTAATCCTACACTGTTCAGATGCTGCACCTGATAAGGTAAACCCTATTAACGAAAAATATTTTACTGAAATGATAATCATTCTCATTTTCTACCAAATTCTTGACCAGCATAACACAACTATAGTTTAGAACAGTCAATTCAACAGTCAGACTATAATACCCAAGAAAACCAGGAGAACCTTCATGCTTCCAACAACTCCAGGAGAACACAAGGAATTGAAAAGAGCAGTTAAGGTTTGACAACTGAAAGTCAAACTAGTAATTAGAGTAGTACTAAGTAATCATGAGGAATTTTCTTCCTTTTATGGTTTTTGTGTCAAAATTTAAATGCAAACAATAGTTCAAACTAACATACCATTAGAGGCAGTAGGCTGTCGAGAGACCTCTTCCTTCCATCCTGAATCAACGACAACCTTGTCAACCATGGGAACATTTTCGTCCAAGTCAGGAAAGGCAACAGATCGGCTAGTCTTTCGGGCCATTTTTGCCTACATGAGAATCAAGAAGACAACTACATCATCTATAAGAATTGTAGCCCAATTATACTATAGAAATAAGAGCAGCCAAATCCATTAAAGGCATACAAATAAATTATAAAGAATATATTCCCCTTAAATATGACTAAACAACAGCAGTTTCCATTTGTAATATTAGCTACACAAATTTACTCAAAAGATTAGCTACCCAAAGAAATAACTCCAATTCTCCCATATAAGACACAAAATAATAATAAAGTGATGTACCGCTCCTAAAGTCGTGCATTTCTTACTGTTGCCCTCTAATACTACTGTACAAAAATCCAACCATCAGCTTTGATTTCCTAAATAAATGGCAGTTTAGGATGATGAGCATCATTTACTATAACAAAGCATGATAAATCAAACATCAGCATCTGCATGAAACTGAGGCCCCTGCAGTATACTTCATGACAGTACATCAAATACTCACTATTTGGAAAACAGAAAAAAAAATGAATAAAATTCAAGGCAAATACATGCAGGATAAACTTTGGAAGAAGTGAGACATCTAATTTTTAGTTAACCAAGAACAATTGGGTTAGTACTATTTATATAGAACATGTGGTTTATGATTAATATTAATCTCAATTTCATTTTGCAAAATATGAAAAGGAACATGCTCATTATTACTTACATTTGAATATGTCTTATCGATGACTTATCATTTTTGTTAATTTTTAGCCATGTTCCGGTATGCTAAGTTTCTAAGCATGCACCAATAAACTTCACAAAAGTTCATCTACTGAAAAAAAAACTCAAAATTAAAATACAGGAAAAAAAACTAACGCGCTGTATTCCTTGAATTGATAATTGATAGTCAATGCTAACATTATTTTTTAGTCAATGCTCACATTATTTTTTGTTCTTTTCTAGGAGGAGTTACCTCTTCATGAACAGGGGTTAGTTGAGGATATGCAATGGAATTCCTTGTTGCTTTGGGAGAGTTAATGTCTTCAGCTTCTGATGACTCAGCAGTTGACGTGTCACCGCCTCTTATCTGATTCAAATATACAGACAAGTTAATTTCAAAGAGATTCTTATCAACAATCTAAAATGATCACAGGACCAGAATTAAGTCATACTGTTGGGTATTGTGGCTTAGCATAAGCAATGATCTTTCCATCACTATTGGAAACAGTAACAATTTGTCTGCCACACTGTGCTTCCCCATCAAGAACCATCTGGTTACATTACTTCATCAGAAATTGAGCAACAATGAAACAGTAATATAGTCATCATCTACAGTAAAACAACAAAAGGATACCTTTTGTATGTGAGGATCTTTCCAGGGACCCTCGTCTGACAATAGGCATCCTCCATGTTCAGCACATGTGCAAGAACCGCCAAGAAATTCTGGCAATTCGCTACACAAAGGATGCATAAAAAATGATGATAAAATAAATGGAAGAAGAAAAATAGAGTACATTATCTGATTAAAATAAAGAATTACCTTGGATCAATTATTTCCAGCAACTTATTCTGGTACTTGGTTCCAAGAACCTGATAAAAGTTTCAAAATTGCCACAAATCTTAGTCTCTAGGAAAAAAATAAACAAACAGATAGGGAGGGTGATTGTTACTTAACATGAATTTTTGAAGTTGTCTTGGGATCAAGAAAAGATTTCACACTGTTCCATAGAAGTCTAAACCCAGTGCCAGCATTAATGATAAACATGCGGCATAATGTCTGCAAAAACATGTAGATGCTAAATCACACCCTTCCAGCATCAAGTTCATATAGTCAAGTGTAGTCCAGTTACTTGCAAGGCTGTGATCTTTATATCAATAAGATAGTACCTCTGGATAGTTATCGCTGTCAATCTTCTGCAATCGCACAATTAGTTCTCGAGCAGTCTTGCTAAAATTTTTTAAACCCTGCAAAAATGAAGTGCACCAAAAAAATATTTCATTATAATCAGTAGTGACAGCAGATACATTTCAGCTAACTGGTTAGAGAAGTATGAGTATAAAACATACCACGCCTTGAACATCCAAAATTGTAGTACTTGAGTCTATATGCTTTTTTGCAGCAATTGAGCATGCTGGAAACTTAACCATAAAAGCCCTTTCAAACTCCTTTACATGATATCTTATGTACCGATCCATTGTTGTCACGTGCATGAGTTTATTTGGATCAACTCTTCCCAGTCTTTCAATATATACAGGTCTTCCCTCCTTATCCACACCATGATAACCATGCGGATAGTATTTTAGAACTTCCTCATGTTCTGCATACTCAAAATCCTGATGAACTCTAGTTAGTTGTTGATCATGTTTTTAGCAAAAGAGAACCAGAAATGAAATTTTCGGTCACATGAAAAAATGAGGCCAAAAGAATGAGGCCAAAAGAATGAGGCTTAGTATCTCCAAATTAAGCATCAGGAAATCTACAGCTATAGTCTGATGTAAGAGGAGTAAAGCTAAGGATGTGAAAGTTACTGGATACTGTGAGAGCACCTAGGAAGCATGCTTAAGATGTATTCAAATGAAATAGATCTCTCATGCTGAGGAGACCTTTCAGCAATAAACAATTATGATTTCAACAAAATATATACTAGATATATTGTAGTTGAATAAAAAATCCACAATTCAGGATACTGGCATCAACGAATGCTTCTCAATGAGACGTAATACATGGAAGACTTGGGCCCTATAAACATGAAAATAAGGGGCTGTTTGGTTCGCTATTATAAGAGGTGAAAAACTCAGAAAACTCCTTCACGTCAGATTTTTAGCTCTCCATGTCAGCGTTTTTGTTTCCGTCCATTTCTTTGTGCCGCTTTGGTTTGCTCGAATGGAAGAGGGAAAACTCTGCTGAAATCGCCGCCAACTAAGATTTTTTTCCCTCTCCGATTTCCTTCCCCAACCAAGTGAAATTGATGAAAACTCTGCCACGTCAGATTTTTTCCTTCTGTGCTTTGTTTACAAAAGTTTTTCTTTTTTTCTATGCAAACCAAACACAAGAAAAATAAATACATTGGTTTCCCACCATTTTTTATGTGCGAACCAAAACAAAACAATCTATTTCTTAGAAAAGTTTGGAAAACTCAAAACTTGTGTTTCTTTACATAGAATTGTATTTCTCTATATCAAGGAAACGAACCAAACAGCCCCTAAAAGTAAAGTCCTAGACATATCCCAACTGATCCTTGTTCTGTTTCTTAAGTTGTTATACATAATTCAAATCTCCATATCACGTTGAAGTAAAGTATTACTTACACACTTAATCTTTCTTTTAGTGTGGTTTGTGCCAGGTTTCTCCAACAGTTATCAGAAAAGAGAAGTGGTAAGGGGAAAAAAACTACTAGGCCAAACGAAGTTACAGGAATGATTTCAATAACTAATTTTCGAATGTATGTTGTCAAAAGTTTCCATAATGTTGTTATTTTTTTTTTCAAGTGATACAACATGAAATGAAGCAGTTCTCTGACATGCTTCTGTATACTTTATGTTTTTTTGAAGGATGGATAGACCAGGTATTAAAGAAAAGCATTTCCATAATGGAAATAGTCTATATGGGAAGAATTCTCAATATCATAGTTTGAAACTTAAAAACTGAAAATGACTTAACAGGTAAAATATAAAATGTTCAACAAATCTATAAAGCATTAAAGCTGACCATCATAAGATAAACGAATATCAGATACTATGATAATAAATCTTATTGATTTTCACAGAATCTGCAATTCTGCATCTAGCAAGTGTGATATTTGTACAGATGCATCACATAGCAAAAAGTTGCTATATTGGAAACATGTGGACATGGAAGAAAAATGTTGTTGACCCACAAACCTTACCACCCAGGCTTGCATAGCATTATCAAACTTTTAAACCGTGTCCTAAATGCATTATTTTTAACCAAGGCAATATGTATCAAGTATCATATTAATATATACAATATGGCTGACTCCTTTAAATAGACTATAAATAGTCAGTGGGTTTTCAATGTTTGATATAACTAGAAGATATATTTTACCTCTATAATAGTGTCAGCACCAAATTCCTTCCTCCATTGAAGCATCTCAGCCCACATTTGTTTTGCTTTCTCAACATCAAATTTCCTTGCCTTCAAAAATCTGCAAGGAAAATGACCAGATCAGAACTTTAGATTTTGAGGACATACAAAACTATACTGTTTACATGATATGGGGGGATCATTTACTAACAGAGTACCAGTATCATCAAATGCACAAAGCAAGATACAATCACAGGAAATTCAATTGAATAATTCTTTCTGGTATATGAGTTTTCCACAAGTGATAGGTTTTGTTGCCAATAATATTTCTTGTGTCAATGCAACTTATGTTATCAAATGTAGATCATCTAATTCTTGCATCAGCTTCTTTTTTCCATGTACGTAACAGCATGCTAGAAGAATAGCACATTGATTTTGCAGGTTTAAAGGGCAGTGAACTCTATGGAGAGAAGAAAATCAGCTACTATATGACGCGGTAATGACATAGGAAAACTTGAAAATTTGTCCTAATGAGACCAAACAAGGTGTATCAAACATGCCAATTGAAAACAAGACATACCTCAACATCATGTGATAATCATCATGCCTAGCAGGTAGCAGTTCATCCAGTATCAGTGATTGACGAAATGCATCAACAGCTTGAAGTTCCTCAACATCCCTGACATCTTCAATTGAGACTGAGATGACTTGACTGTCACTCTTCCTCCTACTCTTTTTCTTCCTCAATGAATGCCTGAATTTGGTTGAAGCATTTAGTGCCTTTTTCTTAAAAGATCCCATCCTCGTTCTTCTTTCATCCTCTGAGTTCTCAAAATCTGATTTTCGCTCTTTCCTTTCATTTTGACCAAAAGATCCGTCAAAACCTGAAATATTTTACGGGCATTTTTGTCAAATTAGGGGAGAAAGAGAGTGAATAGAACGTTTGGAAGTAGAATTTAAACAACATTTCGCATTCAGAAAAATGATATTGGAACTAACTTCCATACATTTACAATTCTTATTGGATTAACATGAGTATGGATGGGAGAATGCTTTCAAATAACAAGCTCAGAGTTGGTAAATACACATATAATATCCAAACTCATAGTTTTACACCCAGATACATGCATCAGCACGCATTTACGTACATATAGGCAACAAGGTACAAGGTACGTGATATACTGAAAGCAATAGTTAGTGGCATGCTGTTTGCATGAATTTAGTTTATAAGTTATTTAAGGAACTGGGGTAGCACCACAAACAATTATGCAGAACTAGACATCAAAAATTGATAAAGTGAATTAAAATACGATCAATCAGAAGTTCCTTATTTTATTTTTATTCATTACATGGCATATTTCTACCGGTTACAAGACAATTAAGGAAGCTAGTAGAATCAATACTCTAAAACATCATACTCTAGGAAAGTATTTTTTGCTAAAGCTATGCACACTCATTGTAAGGGAAGTGGACAAATGTCCATTGAGAACCCAACCAACCGAAGACTTAATTTCACCTAAGAAGAGGAAATGACAAACTAAGTTTGTCAAATTTATGAATTCCAATCCAATGAACAACTGATCATTTCCTCACATAATTTCTCCGATAAGGGGCTGTTTGTTTGGGCCAAAATTTTAGGGAACCAGCATTTTTGGAATAAAAACTAGGTTTTGGGCCATTATAGGATTCTAAAAGTTGGGTTTGCTTCAAAAAAAATTTAAGAAAAAGTTTCTTAAAAAGAGATAAAACAGTGACTTTTTTTGGACAGCACAAATCCTATCTTTTGGCTTGGAAATGTGCTACAAAGTTGACAGATTTGCCGGCTCCTCTTTTCCTCTCTCTCTCTCTCTCTCTCTCTCTCTATTGATGGTTCTATTATTATTCTTTGGAAATGAAATAAACATGAGTTTTGGATATGATTTCCTATTCTTTGCTTTATCATTTCAAATCAAACACAAGTTTTGGATTCCTTAAATATCCTAAAAAAAATTTTGAATTTGGTTTTATGTGAGGGAGTCCATTTCCATAATTTTATGGAAATGAACCAAACAGCCTCTAAGAGGTAACTGATGTTTACAAGCCTGCCTACCTACCTTGAAAACACCATCCACATGTTTAATATTTGGTAGAATGCATTTATCCTTCATATAATTCTGGAATTTTTGATAAGAAGCCTTGCTGAAATTTTAGGGAAAGGCACTCAAAATTTTGTACTAATTCATTTCTTTTCTTTTATAGCCCAAGAAGTACGCAACATCAACCAAAAAGTGAACTCCACAAAGAAAAATTCCTCAAGGACCCAAAATATGGGACCAATAGGGGGACAAGTGAGGTGTCCCACTCCTATTGGATAATGAGTTGGCCATCAATGATGGCCAACTCATTATCCAATAGAAGGGGGACACCTCACTTGTCCCCATATTGGACCCAAATTTTGGGTCCCTGTAGCAAAGCTCAAAACCTCTCTAAATTCAATCTACATAATTATTTCTGAATAGAAAAGGAAATATAGACAGCCTAAATTACCTCAAAAGGAGCAATTTTTATTAGCTTAAACAACGAAAACTCCCAAATTTCCAACAAAAAGAATAAAATAAAAAATAAACGAAAACTCACAAGGCCTGGCGAATCGATCGAGCGGTCCTGACATTTCAGAGGAAAATCCGAAGAATTTCACGCGCAATCGATCATAAAAAAGTTCTTCAAAACCCTAACAGAGAGAATAGCTGAATCACCATCAGAAATCCAAATTAACAGCTAAATTCACATCAGGGGGTAAAACTCTACGGAAAATTAAAGAGTTCTCTTTGCAGCTAATTATACCTCGAACCCGATGCTGACGTCGTTGGTTTCCGGCGGAGCTGCGAATTAAGCGGCGAGGTAATTCCGAGGGACCGAATTATTCGCGCTCGGAAGGAGAGGAAGAAGGCGGGTAGAAATAATGGGTAGGGGTTGTTTTTCTTTTCTTTTTTTTTGGAAAAGGAAATTTTGAGGGAGAATAGGTGTAGAAACCTAGGGTTTGTGGAGCCCACAGCCAATTGATTGTTGCCACGTCGGCGCGCGAATCTTGCGAGGGCGCCGGTGGGTCCTCTTTTGGCAAATACGCCAACTTTCCAATAATTTTTATTTTCTTAAAGTTTTTTTTTTATAGAAAATGAAAAGAACATTTTGATGGATAAAAAGATGGCTAAATTGCACTTAAATAACTTAAGTTACAAAACGAAGCAAATATATACCTCAAATTATCTGTCGTCTAAATTTAATAAATGCCATAAATTTTTACCAAAAAAAAAAAGAGACTACCTCTCATTGAAATTTACCCAAAAGGAGAAAGAGCTAGGCAAAATTGTAAATAAAACAATCGATGAGGATAGATGACGTTTAAAATAGACATATGACCGGTACGTGGAAGAACTTGTGAAAATAGAAAAGTTATAAAAGAATATGCATTGAGGAAGAAAATGGATTTAGACAATACGAGGCCTCGTATGAACCAAGCCGGCAGCGAAAATTCCAAATATGTAAAGACAACTAGAGAAAATGATTATGACGTTGTTTATGGATCAGTATCATACAACTTAAAGCTCATTTTATTATTTAATGGAAAAGGGATAGCTGTACTCCTTGTTCCTTCCAAATGACTAAATGAGGAACTCTCTTCTTCATTTTTAAATAGTCTTTGATCTTTTATACAATTTAGTTGGAATTGAGGATATTGTTTAATTTTTATCAGCCCAACAAAAACTGGCTATTTGTCGAAATTTCCTAAAAAGTAAAACAAGACCATTGGTCTGGTTGGCAATTTATAACCTAACCCGCTAACCCGATTTGACCCGACCCATTATAAGTGGGTATGGATCACTTTATATGGGTCGGGTCATATACGGATCGACCCAAAAAATCTAATAATTAGTCAAGTTGTAAACTGGTTAACCGGCCAACCCGTTTAAATTTAACCCATTTAAATTTAAATTCATCTCTTAACCTTCAAATTATGTAAAAACACACCCATAAAATATCAATATATATGAAAACTACAAAATTCATAAATTACATACAGCACTATCAATTTTTTATAGTTTGTAGAAAACACTCTTAAAGGGTTCAAAAATTAAAACAAATCCTCAAAAGTTCCAAATTTACCAAAAATCATGAATATATCAAAACTTATAAAACAGTACAAAAAAATCTATAAATTATAAATAACAAAATAAAAATTTTACATAAAACACCCTCAAATGTTCAAAAATTGTAAAATAACCCTAAAAGTTAAGTTTGTAAAATTTGCAAGACACAACCCAGAAATATCAAAACCTACAAACAGTATAAAATCTAAAACCCATAAACAACCCCAAGAATTTTTTGAAATTCACAAAACACCATCATAGTTTCAAAAGCTGCAAAAAGTACACCTAATAAGTCAAATTTTACAAAAACACAACCCTGAAACCTAGAAAAATCAAAATCTACAAACACTATACAATCTATAACTTATAAATAGCTTCATGAAAGTTTTAAAATTTACAAAAAACACCATGATAGTTTTAACAGTTGTAAAAAATCAACATCTATAGATAACTGCACAATCTATAACTTATAAATAGCATCATGCAAACACCCTAATAGTTTCAAAGTTACAAAAAACACCCAAAAAGTCAAAGTTTTAAAAAACTGAAAAAGTGAAATGTATGAACTCTGAAAATTTTATAATTTATAAATTACTAAAACCCCATTGAAAGTTTTGAGTTTTTCCAAAAGACACCCGAAATGTTTGAAAAATGCAAAATACACACTCAAAAGTCAAACTTTTATAAAAACATGCTCGGAAAATATCAGAAATTACAAAAAGTATAAAATTTATAAGTAATAAGTAGCAACATAATTTTTTTTGAAATTTTGCAAAAGAAAACACTAAAAATTTAGAAAATTGTAAAATACACCGTACAAAAGTCAAACTATTACATAGACACGCATCGGAAACAATAAAATTTATAAACAGTATAAAATCTATAAGTTACAAGTAGCAGCTTGGAATTTACGCAAAAGACCCTAAAAGTTTCAAAATCACAAAATACACCCTCAAAAAAGTTAAATTTTACACAAACACACCCTAGAAAAATCAAAATCTACAAACACTACACAATCTATAACTTATAAATAACTTCATGAAAGTTCTAAAATTTACAAAAACACCATGATAGTTTTAAAAGTTGCAAAAAATCAACATCTATAGATAACTGCACGATCTATAACTTATAAATAGCTCCATGAAAATTTTAAAATTTACAAAAAATACCCTAATAGTTTCAAAGTTGCAAAAAACACCCAAAAAAAGTCAAATTTTTAAAAAACTAAAAAAGTGAAATGTATGAACTCTGAAAATTTTATAATTTATAAATTATAAAAGCCCCATTGAAAGTTTTAAGTTTTACAAAAGACACCCGAAATGTTTGAAAAAATGCAAAATACACACTCAAAAGTCAAACTTTTATGAAAACATGCTCAGAAAATATCCAAAAATTACAAAAAGTACAAAATTTATAAGTTATAAGCAGCAACATAAATTTTTTGAAATTTGCAAAAGAGCACCCTCAAAATTTAGAAAATTGCAAAATACACCCTCAAAAAGTCAAACTATTACACAGACATGCATCGGAAACAATAAAATTTATAAACAGTACAAAATCTATAAGTTACAAATAGCAGCGCGGAATTTGTGAAATTTGAGAAGAAAAGACCCTAAAAGTTTTAAAATCGCAAAATACACCCTCAAAAAAGTTAACTTTTACACAAACACACCCTAGAAAAATCAAAATCTACAAACACTACACAATTTATAACTTATAAATAGCTCCATGAAAGTTCTAAAATTTACAAAAAATACCCAAAATAAGTCAATTTTAAAAACAAAAAAATTGAAACTTACAAATTTAAAAAATTTATAATTTGAAAATTACAAAACCTACTAAAAGTTTTGAGTTTTGCAAAAAACACCCTAAACGTTTAAAAAACTTCAAAATGCATATTCAAAGGCCAAAATTTTAAAGAAACGCTTCCAGAAAATATCAGAACTTATACAAAGTACAAAATCTACGAGTTATAAGAAGCACCATGAGATATTTTAAATTTATAAAAAAAACACCCTAAAAGTTAAAAAATAAAAAATACACCCTTAATAAGTCAAAACTTTTAGAGAAACATGCCTCAGAAACAATAAAAATTAGAAACAATACAAAATCTAAAAGTTATAAATAGCATCATAAATCTTTTAAAATTTAAAAAAAACACCCTAAAAGTTTTTTTTTTGACTGAAAATAGGGCCTTATACCCTATCATATATATATATATATATATATATATATCCCGCAGTTTGTTGGGTCCTTTGGAAAGCTAGAAATGACCTCATCTTCTCAAATCTGTCTTCCTCACCTTAGCTTATCATCAACAAGGCTGTTCACTTTCTTCTTTTATGGTCAGGGGCCTCATCCACTAAGAAAGCTATCAAGCTGAGAAAGCTCATTCACACCTCGGGCCTTCCGGATATTGCTGAGTCAAGCTCAGGCAACAATGGTCTACTAGACCCGCAGGGGTAGGGGCATTGCTCTGTTCTGGTTTCTGGTTTTTGGGGATTTGAAGATTTTGTTCCCAGGGGACCGAGAGGATGTTTGGTCCTAACTCGCTAACTGCTTTTGCTTTGGAATCGTTGAAGAAGGACATGTAATAGAGGGGAATGGATGAGAGGACTGATTTGAGGAGAACTAGCCTTCCACCTATGGAAAGCTGCTTACTTCTCCATATGGAGAGCTTGCGGTGGAGAGAATCAATCAGAGGCTGCCAGTCTGCCTTGGAAAGGGATCCTCTTTTCAGGGGAAGGCCTAGGTATTTAAAGGGAGGGGATGCAAAGGAGCAGTTGAGAATATTGGCTAGGTAGGGCCCCTTGGTAGATGATTTACCACTGTAGAATAAATTAGATTTGGAGAAGTTAATGGATAGGCCAGAGGTACATTCAAAGAGATATAGAATAGATTTGAGATTGGAAATGTCTGAGGGGTCAGCCTTGCAGAAGACAATTGTGTCGCCTGTAAATTGTAACGACTTTATGTCATTGAGGGAGCCTTTCAAATGGAGCTCAGCAAGATCCCCGTGGTCACAACTGTTGTGAAGCATCCTGCACAGGACGTCTACCACGAGAAGAAACAACATGGGAGATAGGGGGGTCCCCTTGTTTAAGACCCCTCTGGCTGGGAAAAGGATTAGTTGGGGATCCATTAACCATAACAGACGAGGTAGACGAGGTAGACGATATCAGGATGGAATGTATCCAAAAACACCATTTGGGGCCAAAGCCTCTACACTGAAGGATGGACAAAAGGAAGTCCCAACTCACACAATCAAAAGCATTGTGAAAATCGAGTTTAATGATACAGGCTTCTATCTTTTTGGAGAAGCATTGGTGAACCATCTCATGTCCCAGAATGATGGAGTCCATGGTAGATTTGTCATGCTGGAAAGCCGATTGAGTGAGGTGAATTAAGGATGAGAGAAAATGTCTTAGCCTGTTGGCTAAAACTTTGGTGAAGATTTAAAAAAGGCCGTTGAGGAGACATATGGGTCTGAATTCTGAGGCCTGGGTGGGGGAAGATGTTTTGGGGATAAGGGATATGAA